TTGAGGGACAACTTTGTTGGTTATGTGATTCTTGGTGGGCAGGTTTTTTCTTTCACACATTTGTATATGCCATCCATTGCCTTCTTGCCTGCATGGTTTCTACCGAGAAATCTGAGCTTAAAAGATAACTTTTTATTTTGCCCAAGCTGCTCTTAAGATTCTTTCCTTGTCTTTGATTTTGGAAAGTTTGATTATGATATGTCTTGGTGATTTTCATTTGGGATCTATCCTGTTTGGGGTTTGTTCAGCTTCTTGTATGCCTATCTTCTTGTCTTTTTTGATGTCAGGGAAGTTTTCTTCAAACATCTCTGAGAGAATTTTCTCCTTTTATTGTCTCTTCCTGTTCTGAAATTCCATTCTCCCATAAGTTGTTTCTCTTCGTGATGTTGCTCCTAACCTTTCGGCTTTCTTTGGGTTTTTTCATTCTCTTTCTTATTCTTCTAGCATACTAGCTGATCTTCACGCTCACTAATTCTGGCTTCCATTGTTTTGAATCTTCCCTTTGCCCTTTCAATGTATTTTTCATTTCTGGACTCTTCATATTAATCATGTGGATTTCTAATTGCAGGCATTGTATTGTTTCAAAATTTGCATTTATTTTGTCTCTTTGAGTCGCCCTACAATCTGTAGCTTCTTGTATGCTTATTTATCGTCTTGTCTTTCATGATATTATATTAGGGAAGCTTTCTCCCAACAACTCTTTGCCAATTGCTTGTGTGTTTTTTGTTGTTTCTTCCTCTAAGGAAATTCTGATCACTTCTAAGTTACTCCTCTTCATGGTGTAAAAATCTTTGGATTTTTTTCATTTTTTTCTGATTTTTCTTACTGCATTTTTCTTATTTCAATTGTATTGGAAGATTTATCTTCAAGCTCACTAATTCAGGCTTCTATTGCTTCAAATCTCCTCCCTGACCTTTAAATGTAGTGTCCGTTTCTGAAATCTTTGTTCAGTGAGTTCTTTTCTTCCTCAGAAATGTTTTCTGGCTCTGCAACTTGGTCATGTGTGAGAACCATTCTCTTCGTGTTTGTGTGAACCAAAATTGTCTGTTGTCTATGGGACATTGTGGTGCTGGTGTATTTGTATTGAATTCATGTAGGAAGGCTGATGTGTTTGATTCTCTCACCAGGTTTTCTTGTGTGGGTTTAGAGAATGGAAGCGTGTGCATGTTCTCCGTTTGCTGTTGTGTACCTCAGGTTAGGGTGGGTTTGGCTGGTGTTGGCTGCCATGTGTCATTGATCAGGTGCTATAGGAACGGTTACTGGCTCATGCTCCAGTGGGTGGAGCTGCAGAGGGCGCAGTTTTACCTGGGTGGTGTGGGCACCGTAGCTGTCTCCTGTCGGGAAAGATGAGAAGTCCCCTTTGATCCCGCCTCCACACACATACCAGAAAACGAAACAAAATAAACAAGCAGCCAACAATGAAAAAAGAAAAGAATAAAACAGAGAGATAGAAAAAAAAAAAATCTGTAGTAACCATATGAAAAGAATATAATAACTAAAGAGATGGTTGTTGGTGGTGTTAAATGCTGTCGAGTTGGTTCCAACCCATTGCGACCCTGTAGGTGAATGGAAATATAGAAGAGAAAAATAAGAGAGAAAATAAAAGGAAGAAATAAAAAAATACAAAACACTTTAAAAAAACGAGGGGAAGGAAAGACGAAAAGAGAAAGAGAGTAGCGAGAAGTAAAGAAATATCAAAAGGAAAGAGAAGGGAAAAGGGGCAAAATGAGAAACAGGAAAAGATGGAAAACCAAAAGTAGAGCTAGAAAGGATGAACTTGAGAGGCCTGGACAGAGAAGAGAGTGACCCAGGGACCCTGAGGCCATTATTCTGCTCTCTCTATAGAGTTGCTCTGAGTTAGAATTACCTCGATGTCTAGGATCATTGGATACGGCAGGAAGCCGATTTTGTGTTTTTCTAATGGAAGAAGTGGCCCAGTGGACAGTAGTTATAGTATAGCTGTATCATGTTGTAAACCGTGAGCATTCACACCAGGAACAGACCATCTTGCATTCCCTGCTACAGGAGGTGTGCGGTCTTTTACAGGATGTTTCTCACTCCTTTGCTCCCTGACCAGGGACTGGACTGTGAGGCCTCCTGAGGTGAGTCTACTAATGGATTACCATGACCCCCTCCCCCAAAGCTGCACTGGGGTCAGCTCACACCGCCACAGCCCCAGCCTGGTTTCTCACTTCTCGGAAGAGCTAGCTGGTCCTCGAGCACTGGGCTCAGATGACTTTTCTTTGAAGAGTAAGTTTTACAGAATGGCCATACTTCCCACCCTCCCCCCAGCATCTCTATCCCAAGAGTGCTCCTCATTCCTGGTTGCCTGTGAAGCATTGCTCGGGAACACACTGCCCCTTTGAGAAACTCAAACAGGCTATCTGGAATGCGCGCACTTTCCCAGACTTGACTGGATCAGGTCACGTGTCCTGCACAGAAGTCCTGTCTTTTCACGGTCGTTTACCCCTATGGAAGCCCCCTGTCTGTCCTTCTTTTTGAATAAGCATCAGTACCCACTGCCCCTCTTAACCATCACTGTGGTCTCTGGGGGTGACTGATCACCCCTACTTGTCAGACTGGGATCCTTGTAGACAGAATTTAACACCTGTGTGAACCAGCAGTCAAGTACTCAAACTATGTATTGCATTAGGCATGTGTGCTGCAAAAGCCCTCTTTAAAGTGTTCAAGAGCTAAGATGTGATGTCACTTTGAGGTCTAAGGTGTGCCTGACCCAAGCCATGGTATTTTCAGTCACTGCATTCATGCATGTGAAACTTGGACAGTGAGTAAGGAGGAATGGAGAAGAGATGAGACATATGAGTTGTGGTGTTGGAGAAGCCTGTTGAAAGCAGTGTGGACGGCCAGATGGAAGTGCAGCCAGAGTGCTCCCTAGAAGCCAGGATGAGTGAGACTTTTCTCTCGTACTTCGGACATATAATCAGGAGGGAGCGGTTCCTGGAGAAGAACCTCATGCTTGGT